TATATATATATATATATAAAATACTATTATATTATTGGAATAGTATTCTATTAGTATTCTAACTCTAATATTAGTATTCTAATAAGATAATCTGTATTCTAATATTATTCCAATTATATGTTCTATGTTTTTCATTTTTGAGTACATGCATATGCATGATAGTGTGTGTGGTATATGCATGTGTGAATGCAGGTATGTACACCCATGAACACATGGGCAGAAGTCAGAAAAGGATGTCAGGTGTCCTGCTCTATCACTATCACTCTCAAGCTTATTCACTTGAGACAGGATCTCTCACTGCCCTGAAGCTAGATGGGCAGCCAGAAAGTCCTGGTGATCCTTTTGTTTCTGCTCCCTCAGCACTGGCTGTGCAGGCACTCGTGCCCATGCAGTTTTTTGGTGGGTGCTAGGCACTCAAACTGAGGTCTTACTAAGCCACCTCCTTAGCCCTACTATGTACGCTTTCATTCCCATGCACAAAACAAAAAACAAAAAACTATAAAATGCTTAAACATTTTCAAGGTATTTTTTAACATGATATATGTATATATGTGTACATGTGCATACTCATGAGCTGAGCACAGAGTGAGTTTGCTATAGCATACATGTGGAAGTCAGAGGTCAACCTCAAGTGCCTGTCCATGCTTTCCACCTCACACAGGGTCTCTGTTGTTCACTGCTGCAAATGCCAGGCCACCTGGCCTGGGAGCTTCTGGGGATTCTCACTTCTTACTACAGAAGTACTAGGATTACCAACATGTGGCCCAGCTTCATATGAGTTCTGGAGATCTGAGTTCAAGTCCATAGACTTGGGCAGCCAGCCTTTTACCCACCAAACCATCTCCCCACCCCTAAAGGTAGCTATTAACAGAAGCTGTGCATTGAATTCTTTTTTCCTCTGTTAATTTCTTGTTAGCATACAAAGTTATAGGTTTCATTATGGCGTTTTCAGGCATAAAGGTCCTTATACGCTGTGCACTGGATTCTGGTATACCACTTCAAAAACTTGCCAATCAGAAAATATCATCTTTACCTCTTCTTGTCCAAACTGCTCCATAGAGTCACAGTACACTTCACTATCTGAATCACTTGTCAGATGATGAATTCCTGAAGCATCTTCTCCATGATCATCAATTTTATCTAAATATGAACAAAGATCCAGATAGTATAATTACACTCTGCTAGGAGAAAAACATGTTTTCATTCTATTTTCACAACAAATCAGTTCTGAATTACGTTCATTCCGAGAGCCAAGTCTGACTTCCCAAGTCATAGTATTCATCATTTAGAGAGGAGTTCTCATTATGTGTACCAGGCTGGACTGAAATTACCAGTGCTCCTGCCTCAGCCTCTGAAGTGCTGAAATCACAAGCGTGCCACCACATCTGGCTCCAAGTCACACCTTTTTTAACGTACCAAAACTTCAAATCTACTTGATAGTATGTATTTGAAAAGATGACAGCCAGATGTGATGGCACACGCCTATTAATTCCAGTACTCAGGAGGCAAAGGCAGGAGGACCACCAGGAGTTCCAGGATGGATAGTCTATAAAGTGAGGTCCAAGCAAGCTAGAGATACACAAAAAGACCCTGCCTCAAAAAAAAAAAGAATATACCTGGGTGGTGGCCCCTCGCCTTTAATCCCAGCACTTGGAGGCAGAGGCAGGCAGATCTCTGTGAGTTCAAGGGCAGCCTGATCTACATAGCAAGGTCCAAGCCAGCTGGGGCTACCAGAGACCCTGTCTCAGAAACACCAAAAAAAAAAAAAAAAACTTTTGTCACTGAATTCTATAAAGACAGGTACTAATAAAATAAAATGTATAATGGTTCAACTAATAAAAGCACTTTACACCAAGCCTGAGGACCTGAGGATCCACATGATGGACAGAAAAAAAATAACTCCTGCAAGTTGTCCTCAGACCTCTGCACATGTGCATTTACATATTTGTGCGTAGGAAGGAGGGAAGGAGGGAAGGAGGGAAGGAAGGGAGGAAGGGAGGGAGAAAAGAAAAAACTTTAAACTTTAGCAAGCCTAATAACAATATGAGTAAAATTAAGTAATATCTAGGCTTAAATTTGGATTCAACTATAAAAGTTTGGTTGTTAATTAAGAAAAGATGTTTCCTGATCTATGGATTGAATTGCAGCAATACGAATGTTTTGCTATGGCAAAACATTCTTAGACCTCTAGGATATGAAAGCTTATAACATATTTTGCTTATTAGAAAACAAAGACATCAGGGGCTGGAGAGATGGCTCAGCAGTTAAGAACACTGGCTGTTCTTGCAGAAGACCTGGGTTCGAATCCCAGCACCCACATGGCAGGCTAACAACTGTCTGTAACTCCAGTCCCAGGGGATCCTCCAGTCCCAGGGGATCCGACAGCCTCTTCTGACCTCTGCAGGCACTGCACAACACGGGTACACTTACCTACATACAGGCAATACACGCATACACATAAAATTTAAAAAAATAATTTTTTTTAAAGTTTAAAAAAATTAATTAAAAGAAAAAGAAGACAAAGGCATTATATAATCAGAGGATAAAACAAATACCAGGAATAAAAGTAAAAAATTTTTGGATTTTAAAGGACCATATGAAAATAAAATAAAATTGTCCTAATAAAAAGTTGAGAACAGCCAGGCATGGTGGCACACACCTGTAATCCCAGCACTTGGGAGGCAGAGGCAGGCGGATGTTTGTGAGTTCGAGGCCAGCCTGGTCTACATAGCGAGTTCCAGGACAGCTGGGGCTACAGAGAGACCCTGTCTCAAAAAGACAAAAAAAAAAAAGGTTGGGAACTTAAGAGATGGCTCAGCAGTTAAAAGCAAATACAGAAGATCCAAATTTGGTTGCCAACACCCACATCAGGTGGTTCCCAATTGCCTGGAACTCCAGTTCTAGGGGATTCAACACTTCTCACCTCCAAGGGTACTCGCACTCATGTGCACACATCCATATATACACACACAAACATATATATAACTAAAAATAAAATAAATCTTTAAATATATACAAGTTACATATATAGATAAAAGTTCAGATAGTTTAGTCAGTAAACTGCTTGCCTTCTAAGCACAAGGAACTGAGTTCAATTCCCAAAACCCACATAAAAATGTCAAATGTGGTGCCCTAAACTTGTAATTTCAGTGCTAGAGGCAGACTAGCCACCAAGTCTTGCCTAATTAGTGAGCTCCAGGCCAATGAGACCCTATCTCAAAGAAGTAGGCAGCATTCCTGAGGATGACCTATTCAAGCATATAAATAAATGAACATTCTCCCTCCCTCCCTTCCCCCCCTCCCCACATACAGACAGATACACACACACACACACACACACACACACGAGTTTTTTTTTTTTTTTTTTTTTGGTCTTTTTGAGACAGGGTCTCCCCATAGCTCCAGCTGTCCTGGAACTCACTATGTAGACCAGGCTGGCCTTGAACTCACAGAGATTCGCCTGCCTCTGCCTCTGCCTTTGAGTGCTGGGATTAAAGGCGTGCGCCACCACGCCCAGCCACTGGAGATGTGGCTCAGTGATAGGACACTTCACAGTACCAAAAGGAAAATTTTTTAAAAATTTGAATACTTTGAGCTGGGCGTGGTGGTGCACGGAGCATTCCTTTAGTCACAGCACTCAGGAAGCAGAAGCAGGTGGGACTCTGTGAGATTGAGGCCAGCCTGGTCTACACAGTGCCAGCCAGGCCAGGACAGGCCACTTGGGGCTTTACTAAAGGGAGATCCTGTCTCAAAAGACAAAAAAATAAAAATAAAAATCTTTTAAATACTTCAAGGATAAGGATCTAGCTCAGTTGGTAGAGTGCTTACCTAGCATACATGAAGCCCAGGGTTCAGTCTCCAGGACCATATAAACCCAGCATGGTGACACACAACTTTAATCCCAGCATTTGGGAAGTGAAGGCAGGAAGATCAGAAGTCATCCTTAGCTACATAGCAAGTTTGAAACCAGCCTCATCTACATAAAATCTTGTCTCAAACAAAAATAAGCAAACCATTAACAGGGCTTGCAAGCTAGCTGAGCAGGTAAAGGCTCTTGGCCACCTTAACATGACAACTTCAACTCAATCCCTGAGAGCCCATATAAAAGCTAAATGTGGTGGTGCACATCTGTAATCCCAGCACTCCTCCAGCAAAATAGAAGGCAGAAATGGAAGAATGCACGGGAGTTCACAGGCTAGCTAGCCTGGCCTACGTAGCACAGCAGAAACAACAAGAGAGACCCTGCCTCAAAAACTAAAAATAGAAACATAATTCCTAAAAGTTGTCCTCTAACCTTCATATGCATGCCATGGCATAAGCACACCACACTCATACATACATACACAGACATGCAGACACTCAGAGAGGAAGAGAGAGAGAGAAGGAGAATATATTTTTAGATGAAATAAACTTCCAGCTGGTAAGATAGCTCAGTAGGTAAATGCACTTGCCACCCAAACTGACAACCTGAATTCAATCCCCAGAGCCTAGATGGTGGAAGAAGAGAACCAACTCGGGCAAGCTGCTTCCCAACCTCCACTCTCAGGACACGGTACACCCACCCACAAACCCCTCCCCACATATACACAATAAAGAAATTTTCAAAATGTAAAAATAAAAGTATGACCCCAATTCACTGTGCTTAAAGTGGCAAACTCTTACAGTATTAACCAACCCAAAGACATTATTAAAGATTTTAAAATTCTAAATTATTCCTAAACATCTTAAATTATTAAAGAATATTTTAGTCACAGGAAAAAGGTTAGACAAGGAAGTATTTGAAGGCAATACCTTGGTGAATACAGGCAGTGGTTTTTCCAGTTTGCTGCAAGCTCTGATCTATAGACTTGACTTCTTCAGTACTTCTGGTACCCAGGGAGGGATCAGCATGGATGTCATTCTGTGTATCCTGAGCAGAACTACCCTTATCACAGCCATTGGTGACAATGATTTCCAAATTCTTATCAGCTGATTTGTTCATCATTTCCTTATCTTATGAAAAACAAAATGGACAGATGCATAAAGTTTACCATAGGTTAGCTACTTACCGTACACCACGCTCTCATATTCACTATCATAATTGCTTTGAAGGGTTTCCTACTTGGATAAGATAAACATGGCACCTTGAAAAGGGTGTTGCTATATGGCAAAGTTCACCCAAAAATCATGTTAACCTGAACACATTTCCACTCTCCATGACTCTTCTAAAATGATCTTGGACAAAAATAATAATATCAGGCTGAAAAGAAGGTTTAGCAGTTAAGAGCATTTCCTGCTCATCCTGAGGACCCAAGTTCCATTCCTAAAACCTGTATTAGGAAGCTTACAAAAGCCTATAGCTTCAGTTCTAAGAAATATGACTCCTTCTTCTGGCCTCCACAGGCACTAACACACACACGGCATACACACACACATATATATGTATATATACAAAAATAAAATAAAACTAAAAAAGAAAAATTGTTTAATAATAACAATCTCTCTCAATCTTTTGTTTTGTTTTTGTTGTTTAAGACAGGGTCTTACTATAATCCTGGCTGGCCTAGTATTCAAGTTGTAATTCAGGTTTGCTCAAACTCACAGAAATCCTCCTGCTTCAGCCTCCTGAGTACTGGAATTACACCATCAAACACAACTTTTTTAAAAATAATCTCTTGCTGGGCTGGAGAGATGGTTCAGTGGTTAAGAGTACATATTGCTCTTCCAGAACCATGATTTGGTTCCCAGCACTCACAATGGGCAGCTCACAACCCCTGTATAACTCTAGCTTTAGGGGATTCTGATGCCCTCTCTGGCCTCTGCAAGCACTATAATCACATGCACAAACCCACAGACAGACAGACAGACACACACACACAGACATACTCTCTCACATATATACATCTAATTAAAAATAAACTTTAAGGCCAGGCGTGGTGGCACACAACTTGAATCCCAGGACTCAGAGGCAGGGGGAGGTAGGTCTCTGTGAGATCAAGGCCAGCTTGGTCTACATAGTGAGCTCCCAAGGCAGCTGGGACTACAGGAAGACCCTGTCTCAGAAACACCAAAAAAAAATTTTTTTAAATGCTTTCTAGGGTTAAAGAGATGACTGAGCAATTAAGAGTACTTTCTGCTCTTCCAGAGGGCCTGAAGTTAGTTCCCAGCACCCGTGTGGGGTAGCGCCCAACTGCTTGTAACTCCAGCTCCAGGGGATCCAACACCGTCTTCTGTCCTCTGCAGGTACCAGTTCACCTGTGGCAAACACACTGACACACACATATACACATGAATTTATTTTTATGTGTATGAATGTTTTGCCTACATGTATGCGATTGCACCCATGTCATGGAAAGCCCACAGAGGCCAGAAGAAGATGTCAGATCCCCTGGAACTGGAGTTACAGATAGTTGTTAGCTGCCATGTGAGTCCTAGGAATTGAACCCAGGTCCTCTGGAAGAGCAGCCAGTGCTCTTAACAGCTGAGCTATCTTTCATAATTTTTCCCTTTCACCTCAATTTTTTTTTAATCTATTAGGCTGGTGAGATGGCTCATCAGGTAAAAGCACTTGTTACCACACCTGATGACTTAAATTCAATCTCCAGGACCAACATGGTGGAGGAGAGAGATGATTCCACAAACAGTTCTCTGACCTTCACACATGTGCTATGGCAGGCATCCATACCTATCACGCAACCACACACGCATACACACACATACAAAAATAAGTAAATGTAATAAAACTTTAATGAGAGGCACCCTGAATGCAGTAACCCATGATTCCAATACTCCTTCTTCATCAAAATTTATGCCTTAGCAGGCCAAAGTGACATACACTGTAACCCCAACACTCAAGATATAGGAGTAGGAGAGTTGTAGTTTGAGACCAGTCTGAATGACATAATGAGTCCCTGTCTCAAAACACTGAGAGCCAAGACTACAGATCAGTGGTAGAATGTGTGCCTGGCATATGCTGGGCCTTTGTTTCAATCCCCAGTAAACAAAAAAGTTTACACTTGTATTCTAGTCTCTGGATTCCATTGTATTTTATTTTTTATTTATTATTTTTTAAATATTTTATTTATTATTTTTATATTATGTGTATGAGTGTATTGCCTGCATGTATGTGAGCGCACCCATGTCATGCAATGCTGCGGAGGTCAGAAAAGGGCTTCGAATTCTCCTGGAACTGGAGTTAAGGATGGTTTGTAGCTGTCATGTGGGTGCTGGGAATTGAACCCAGGTCCTCTGCAAGAGCAGTCAGTGCTCTTAACCCCTGAGCTATCTCTCCAGCCCCTATTTATTATTATTTTATGTGTATGAGTATATTGCCTACATGTGGGTAGATGTCCCTGTGTTGTGCAATGCTCATAGAGGTCAGAAGAAGGCATCAGATCCCTAGGAACAGGAGTTACAAACAGTTGGGTGCTAGGAATCAAATCTGGGTCCTCTGCAAGAGCAGCCAGTGAGTGCTCTTAACCACTGAGCCATCTCTCCAGCCTCCTCCATTTTATTTTTTGTAAGATACTGAAGAGTTTGTTTCTGGTCCTTAATAGCATGAATATATCCATCTTGAAAATACCACCTTACAATAAAATATATTTGGGGCTAGGGATGTAAAGTAGCTTCAGTGGTAGAGTATTTGTGGTCCAAGCTTTGATTACCAGCACTACATAAACTAAACACGGTAGCACACAGTTGTAACACAGCAGGGAAGCTGGAGGAAAGAGGATCAGAAGTTGAAGGCCATCCTCTCCTACAGAGCATATTCAAGGCCAACCAGGATTGCTAAGACACTGTTTCAATAAAATTATTTTCAGGGCTGGAGAGATGGCTCAGCGGTTAAGAACACTGGTTGTTCTTGCAGAAGACCTGGGTTCGAATCCCAGCACCCACATGGCAGCTAACAACTGTCCGTAACTCCAGTCCCAGGGGATCTGACAGCCTCTTCTGCCCTCCGCCAGCATTGTCAGCCTTCAATTAATACATCTTTCATTTATGAGCAAGGCTGGCTGCCCCCATGTTCTGTAGAGGAGCATTTAGATCCACAGAAAACCTGGGTGTAGGGCCAATACCCACATTCCACCACATGCATTCATCTCACATAGTACCAAATCAGGCCAAATGTTTTCATGTGCTTTTATCTCACTGGAGATAAAATACTATCCTGTTATCCAAAACGTACCACCACTGCTTTGTGCTCTTTTCACTTCTTCCTGGGCCGCCTCCTCCTCTGACTCCGACTCTGCTCCACTGTCACTGCTCTCAGCTTTGCCGTTTACAGGTTTGGCATTTGAAGAAGTCAGGACATTACCAAGATCTGCAACAGGAGATGACAGCCTAAATGACCAATGTGGTAATATACCTTCATGTGAGAATTTTTAAAGAACTAATGAATTGTTTTGAATTAAAATGTTAAAAGTATAGACATATATAATAGTATTGCTTTAACTATACATATATACCTAGACAATTTCCTTCAATTACCCGTTATAACAAAATTTATAATGCTATCTTAATTTAACTCCTTTTTATAGGGTGGGGGAATTGAGACAGGGTCTCCTTATAGCCCCAGCTGGCCTAGAATTTACCATGTAGACCAGGCTGCCCTTGATCTCAGAGTTTTGCCTGCCTCCAGGAGCTGGGATTCAAAGTCTGCACCTCGCACCACCATGCACAGTTCTTTTATTATCTTTAGGATTTCAGGTACACAACCTAAATTTTTATGCATTTCCAAACAAATTTCTTTAAAAAAAAAATCACTTAATGTGTTCTATCACTTAGAGAAACAAATTGTAATTGGCCAAAGTTATATCCAAAGAGAAAATACATCAGAGCTTCTAAAATTGTAATGTGTTTCTTAATCAGCCGATATCTAGTTAGGATACAGATTCTGAATCAGTAGGTCTGGAGTGACCTAAAATGGTCCCTATCCATCCATAAGGCTGTGTTCTGAGTGCTGTTGGATACTGGATCACATTTTGAGAAAAAACAGTGAATACCAACTGAGTCATCTTTTTAACATACCAATGAATACTAAAGAAGGTAGAAGAACCAGGTGTAATCCCAGTGCTCAAGAAGCTGAGGCAGGGGGATCATGAGCTCTAGGTCAGCCTAGGGAACACAGAGAGAAACTGTCAAAAACAAAACAATCAACCAAAAAACAAGAGAAAAAGGGAGTACTATTATTCCATATTCTTTTTGGTTTTCTCTTACAAAAATCCACTTTAGCAAATTAATTTTTTTAAATATTTTATTTATTATTCTTTTTTCATGTGAATGAGTTTTATGCCTGCATGTAGGTAAGTGCACCCATGTCGTGCAATGACAAAGGAGGACAGAAGAGCCTGTCAGATCACCTGGAACTGGAGTTATAGACAGTCGTTAGCTACCATGTAGGTGCTGGGATTCGAACCTGGGTCTTCTCCAAGAACAGCCAGTGTCCTTAACCACAGAGGCATCCCTCCAGTCTCAGCAAATTATTTCTTAAAAGATTAGAAGCACTGGTACATACCTGCAATCCCAACATTCACAAAGCTGAGACAGGAGGATTGCCAAAAACTAGAGTCAAGCCTGGGCTATATAATAAACCTCTCTTAAGAAAAAAAGGTTCTTTTAACAACATGGATGGTCACATTAAATGACATAAAAAAACCAACACAGTCTTGCATCTTTTCAGAATACATTTTGCTCCTTTGTATCAAATCAAACCAAGTTTTACTGCCCAAAGGTTTTTTAATCTGCTTTCCAAAATTTAGGAGATTATTAAATTTCAGGCAACTGCAGATTAGTGCTTTTACTAATTCTTGGTTGTAGGACATTTGTTTCTTTGGGACGGGTCTTACAATGTAGCCTTGGCTGGCCTGGAACTTATTCTCTAAACCAGATTGCCCTCAGACTCACAGTGATCTGTCTGTCTGCCTCCTAAGTGAGTGCTGGGATTAAAGGCATGCACCACACACTCAGATCATTCTTGTTTTTTTATATTTTACTTTTGGTCTTTTTGAGACAGGGTCTCCCTGTAGCCCCAGCTGGCCTGGAACTCACTATGTAAACCAGGCTGGCCTTGAACTCACAGAGATCTGCCTGCCTCTGCCTCCCAAGTGCTGGGATTAAAGGCGTGCACCACCATGCCTGGCTTTTTCTAGCATTTTAAAATTCATTTAGAGATAATCTCATGTAGCCAAGGCTGCCTTTGAATTCACTATGTAGATGATGATGACTTTGAACCCCTGATCTCTCTGTTTCTACCTTCTGAGTTTTGGGATTACAGGAATGTGCTATCATGCCCTGGCTGCTTCTGTTTCATTTTATTTATTTATTTATTTATTTATTTATTTATTTATTTATTTATTTATTTATTTATTTATTTAATTTATATTATTTTCTCATGAATGATGCAGGGTCTCCCTGTAACCCTAGCTGGCCTGGAACTTGCCATGAGATGAGGCTGGCCTGGAATACTGATCCTCTTACTTCCACCTCCTGAGTTCTGGGATTTTTTTTTCAGTTTTGTGAGATAGAGGCTCACTGTAGCCCAGATTGGCCTGGAACTCACTATGTAACCCAGGCTGGCCTTGAATTCACAGGACTCAATCTGCTTTGCTGTCCCTAATGCTGGGATTATAGGTGTGAACCCTCATTTTAGGTCATTTTAAACATGGCTTTTTACATGGTGGCTTACCTGTATACCATGACAAGCTAAAAGAAGACATCAAGTGAATTCACCTAGCTTTTTTTTTTTTCCCATCTTAATCTTGTGGGTGTGTTTTGAATTTTGTTTTCATGTTTCCAGTAAAAGATTTAAAGGGCTTTACATTCTAGCAAGTGTTAAATGTAAGATTTGCTAGTGTTAACTATTAACATTTGCTCTTCTAATTTTTTTAGAAAGCAGAGAGGAATGAGACCAAAGGAATAAAGTTATATGAAAATTGTATGTGCTTTAATTAAAAATTAGAGTAGCATCCCTGTTTTAAAGTATCTTTTCAATAACTGATAGTGATTGCAGCATTTCAGAGCAGTAATCTTCCATAATGATGCTTGTAGTTTACTTCTGTTAATAAACCATGTGCAACTGATAATGACTGCTTCCTGAGGATCACTTAGTTTCATACCATTTTTCTGATTTGCTGAGAGGAGTGGATTTTTAACAGTCCTCTTTATATTTCATACGTATTGTAAAGGAGACTAAGTGTAGATCTGTTTTAGTAGTGCTTAATCTGTTGGTCAGAGGCAGATATTTGAGTTAACTAAAAAACAAGAATGAGCTGGGTATGGTTGTGCACGCTTTTGATTCCAGCATTCTGGAGGCAGAGACAGGCAGATCTCTGTGAGTTCAAGACCAGACAAGAGCAGGAAGACCTCAGGTACAAGGCAGCACAGACTACACAGTCAATCCTTCTCTCAAAGACGCTAAACCCAGGGGCTAGTGAGATGGCTCAGTAGGTAAAGGTACTTGCTACCAAGCCTGAAAACCCAAGTTTGATTCCTGGGACTCACATGGTAGAAGGAGAAACTGATTCCTAAATCCAAATTGTTCACACACACACACACACACACACACACACACACACACACAAAACAAATAAATAAATGCATTTTTGTAACTTTTTAAAATTAAGAACAAACACGTAGAAAAAACTATAAATTCTATTGTAGTTCTGTATTATACTAAGTGAACCACCTGGCATTTTTTAATAACACAGGTTAAAAACTTACAGTTTTATAGTATTTTGGAACCTCATACAATGTGTTTGCTTTAAACAAAAATTACAAAGGTAACAAATTTATAAGTTTTATGAATACGTACAGAATTCTTTTGCCCTATAAATGTTTTGTTATTTTTTTATGTGTTTATGACTATCTGTGTGTGTGTATACCAAGTGTGTGGGTACCCAGAGACCAGAAAAAGGCATCTGACACCCTAGAGCTGGAATTAGAGGCAATTGTGAGCTGCGATGTAGATGATGAGAACTGAACTCAGATCTTCTTAAAGAACCAGAAGTGCTCTCAACAGCTGAGCCATTTCTCCATCTCACTGCCTATAAATTTTAAATTAAAATTTTACATGGATTTTATTATTCCTACCTTCTAAGTATTTGGAGAGTTTCTCCAATCGGACTGGCATGTGAAAGTAAAAGAGAAAATTAGACAAATAGGTATTAATGTAAGCTTCATGTATCAGTTGTTGAATTAAAAAACAACTAAAATAGTGCTGGGCAAAGTGACACATGCCTGTAATCCCAGTACTGGAAGAGAGAGGTAGGAAGACTATGAGTGTAAGGCCAGCATGGTCTCACTCTGTACACAAGACTCTGTCTTGGAAAAAAAGATAATATAATAAAACAGTCCAACCTGCGGTTAAGTCAGAACTCTTGCCACTCTTTTTGTCTTCTACAATTTCATAAAATGGACCTATAACACGCAGCAACTCTTCAACTTTCTCAGTCATTGGCATAGTTTCAAGGATCTGTAATCAAAGGAAACAAATAACTATTATCTTGGTCTGTATATACATCAAATAATCTACTGTTTCCAATTTGGCAATAATTTTGACATCTGAAGTTCACTAACAGACACCTAAAGATTCTATGTTAATTATATAATGTATATAAACTAGATACTTTTCAAGTATACTAAAGAATTAAAAGTATTCTCATTTTGAAGACTATATTACACAAGCTTCACATAAAACATTTTAAGTAATCTTTTATGTTGTGCATTTAAAACTAAAGTTAAGTTTAAAAACAGAAAAAGGGGGGGCTAAAATACAAATAAATCTGTTCTTGGGGCTAGAAAGATGACTCAGTGGTTAAGAGCACGGGCTGCTCTTGCAGAGGACCCAAGATGGGTTGCCAGCACCCACACGGAACGTAACAACCACCTGTAGCTCCAGGCCAAGGGATCCAACCCTCTTCTGGCCTCCACAGGTACCGCAAGCACATAGGGAACTTATATGCAGGCAGAACAGCCATACACATAAAATAAAAATAAATTTTTAATTAATTATTTCTTTTATACTTAAAGAGTTTCTAAAAGAGGATAAAAATACAGTAGGAAATGGCAAATACTTTCAGACAACACCAAAACTATAGGACAATTTGGAATCATCAATATATTTTTTTAAACAAGGTCTTGCTGTATGTAGCCCAGAATGGCCTTGAATTCAGGATTCTTCTACATCAGCCTCCTGTGTGGTGGGAATAAAGCATGCACCACCATGCCCAGTTCTCAGAAACATCAAATTGAAAGAGTAAGATAAATTAACTGAAAAGGCAAGTTCAAGTACTTCCAAACAGGTAATATTGTACAAACATTAAAAACAATGTTAGGCACACATGGGAAAAAAATCATGTAGCGTTATCTCTGTGTACTGACTACAAAAAATAACTTTAAGCTCTCTCTACAGGAAAAAAAAGAAAAAGTCAATATATAGCATGTTTAACATGATTTATATGCTTGTTTTCTTTAATCCAGCACAGAGCTGGAGAAATGGGCAGTGCCCAGCTTTAGCCAAGGAACTATTGGCAGCTGATCACTGCTGGGGGAGGCAGAGCTGGTCTTCTTTAAGTGAGTGTGAACTGGCTCCAGTGGATGAATTCACACTGAGGGACATGTGGGTACACAAACTTGACATATATGACAGAATGCATGAAATCCTGAGGGCCAGCTATGGGGTGGGGAGGAGCAGATAAGGGAGGGGACCTAAATATGATTAAGATGTATAGTATGAAATGCACAAAAAGATGTTAATATCCTTTTGAAAACAACTGACAAGATACAATTAAAAATAATAATGAGCCAGGCGTGGTGGCGCACACCTTTAATCCCAGCACTCCACTCGGGAGGCAGAGGCTGGCAGATCTCTGTGAGTTCAAGGCCAGCTTGGTCCACATAGGACAGCTGGGGCTACAGGGAGACCCTGTCTCAAAAAGACCAAAAAAAAAGTAATAATGGCCAGGTGTGGTGGTGTGCATCTTTAATACCAGCAGAGGCAGGCAGATCTCTGTGAGTTCAAGACCAGCCTTGTCTACACTTAAAGTTCCAGGCCACCTGGGGCTATAGAGAGACCCTGTCTCAAAAACAAAAACAAGCAAACAAACAAAAAGTAATAATGACCTAGGTTTGAGATATTTTTCAGCGACAGAGCAAAAGCCTATTAGCACATGGGAGGTCCTGTTTCTATCCCCAGTGCAAGCAAAAAAAACAATGATCACTGATCACAATGCCAGGCATGGTGGTGCACGCCTTTAATCCCAGCACTCAGGAGACAGAGGCAGGCGGAGTTCGAGGCCAGCCTGGTCTACATAGTGAGTTCCAGGACAGCTGGGGCTACAGGGAGATCCTGTCTCAAAAAGACCAAGAAAAAAATGATCACTATAGAATGAAAATGGAGGAAATTAGAAGAATCTGTTTCCATTTAATATTTATGTATTTTGGTGCTGGCAGTTTTTTTTTCTACCCCAGGGGTTCAAGTACTGGGTAATCATTCTATAAATAATCTACTGCCCTAGAGCCTGGTATGATTTTGAGTTGACACACATCCATCAACACTGCCATTCACAGAATATACACAAAGCTTGATGAGAAGGATGATATGAAATGAACTATATTACCAGCTAGTTATTGGTTACAGCTTGATTTTACCACTCATAGTAACATGCAATTGCTGCTCAACGGACAGGAGTGAAATGAATGTTTTCCTTTCTATAACACGGATATCTATCCTGTAGTATAACCTACATTATAACCATAACTCTTAAGAATCAGATTCCAGTCAAAAGTTGAAGCCACAGGGTAATGTTAATTTTGATGTGACCAAAGTCACTGCTAATAAATGGCAGATAGAATTCAAACATAGGTCAGCACCCTTTACATCCCCCATACTGCCACATTAGGATTGACTTTGTAGAATCTGGTAAGGAAATCAATCACACATCCCACCCTGACTCCCTTTCAACACATTTGCAAAACACATCTCTTTTAGTTATCTCTCAAAGTTTAGTCCTAAAATCTCTCCCAAATTTATATTTTTTAAGTTTTTTTATTTTTTTTAATGTGTTTTGAGTATTTTGCCTGCATGTATTTAAGTACCCCATGCATGTGATGCCTTTAGAGGCCAAAAGATGGCATTGGAGCCCCTGGAACTGGAGATATGAACAGTTGTTAGCTGCCAGATGGGTATTGGGATCGGAACCCAGGTCCTCTGCAAGAGCTGTCAATGCTCTTAACCACTGAGCCATCACTCCAGCCTCAATATAAATACACATCTATATTTTTTTGGTGGGGGGGATCTTTTTTTGAGACAGTGTCTCCCTCTAGCCTCAGCTGACCTGGGACTTGCTATGTAGACTAGGCTGGTCTAAGCCTGCCTAAAGCCTTCCAAGTGCTGGGATTAAAGGCATATGCCATCACATCCAGCCCCAAATTTATTCTAAGTAGATCTGCTGAATTCAGTGTTTAGTTTTCTCATAAGAGTGTTAATTGTGGACTAAAAATGTCACAACTATATAAAATGGAGTATGCATTAACACTAAATATTTATAAATACTGTTTTAACCAACTAGATTTTCCAGAGTCAATATAGTCAGGAAATAGGTAGCCATGGCAAGAATTTAAGAGGTTTCTCTCTTCTAAAGAGACCAAAAATCTAACAGCCAAGACCAAACAGCTCAGCTGGGCAGGGTGGTATGCTCTTGTAATCCCATCACTGAGAGGACTGAAGGACGTCTGAGGCCAGCCTGAGTTACATAGCAAGTAACAGGCCAACCTAGGCTACACAGAAAAGACCTTGACTCAAAATAACAACAAAAAAAGGAATCACCCCAGTCATTTTCAAAATTCTCTCCTCTAAACATAAAGAAATAGAACACTGATGAACACATGCACATGAGATAGAGCAGCAGAGACCAAGAGCCACACCCAGAGACAAGTTGGCACAGGCCAACCTCAGCCTAGCAACTACCACTTATTCTCAGAGATTTAAAGTTTTAACTATGGACCAGAGAAGGCTCAGCAGGCAGAGAGGACTGCATGCAAGTCCAACACTTGAGTTCAGTCCCCTGATCCTGCAAAGTGGCAGGGGAAAGCCAACTCCTGAGAGCTGCCCTATGATCTGCACATGTGCAACGTGGCATGGGCACACTTGCACTCACACACACATTCACACACAAAATAAAAAGTAATAAAGTTTTATTAAAAAGCATGACTGGTGTTATGTTAATTAATTTAATACAGTATATCTACAATCTAGATAATTAATAGAAATGTTTGGTAAGCTTCACAGACTATAGTAAAGTGGCACCCAGGACCAGAGAGATAGCTCAGTGGCTAAATAAAATACTGGCTGCTCAAGCCTGAGGACCTGAGTTCAGATCCCTAGCGCCCACAGAAAAAGCCAGGCCTGGTGGTATGCACCTAGAATCCCAGTGCTGGGAGGGGGAGACAGGAGGATCCCGGGGAGACTAACTGCCAGGCAGTCTAGCCAATAGGTGAACTCCAGATTCAGTGGGTGACCCTGACTAAAAAAATAAACTGTCAGCTGGGTGGAGGTGCACACATGGTTAGTCCCAGCACTCAGGAGGCGAAGGCATTCAGATCTCTATGAAATGGAGACCAGCGTGGTCTTGATCTGAGCCAGTCCTATGAGCTCCAGGCCAGTAGGGACTATATGGAGACATTGTCTCAAAAATCTAAAATATAAAGTGTCAGGCTGAGGAGAGGACTCAGTAAAATAAAGTGCTTGCCATACAAGTGTGAGGACCAGCATCCGAATCCCCAGAACCCAAGCAGCACACATGTAAACTAGCGCTCCTACAGTGAGAAAGAAGGCCAAGAGAGGTGAATTCCTGGAAGCTGGTGTGCCAGCTAGCCTGGCCTACGCAGCAGTGAACAAAGGGACACTGGTTCCAACAAGGTAGAAAGCAAGGACCAACACCTGAGGTGGTCCTCTGACCTCCACACGCATACTGTGGCATACTCAGACCAACACATTCTCTCTCTCTCTCTCTCTCTCTCTCTCTCTCTCTCTCTCTCTCTCTCTCTCTCTCGCGCGCGCGCGCACACACACACACACACAAACAAAGGTAGAAGACACCTCTGGCCTCCACATGTACACAACTGGATACACATACCCACATACCATACAGATGTACCCACATGCATACAACACACACAAATCAAAAAGAAAGAAAAGCAGCATTCAAAACACAACTTTTTCCTAGGTTTATCTAGCATTTTTCCTTTGTGACAAACATCCTGTGCTGGTTGTATTTGTCAATCTGACACAAACTAGAGTGACCTGGAAACAGAGAACTTCAATTGAGGCATTTCCTCCTTTGGACTATCCACTGGCCATGTCTGTGAGGCACCTTTTAAACTGCTAGTCGATGTGGGAGCCTACTATGGGTGATGCCATCCTTGGAGTGGGCCTGGGCTGTATAAGAAAAGATGATTAAGATTCTTTGAGAT